TACTTAATTAATGATTGGATAAAAATATATATTATTGTTTGAGAGATCTTTCACATATCAAGGCAATTTATCGTGGTGAATGTGGTTGGTTTTGACCTTTTTACTGTATTAAAAGGAATTTATATATTTTTTTTAATGTTAGTCAATTATTTTAGTTATTAGGTTAATTTTATCTTTAAGAATTAAAACTTTGTGTACAAACTTTGTTTTATTTTTTTTTAAATTATTATACGTTACTATTATTTATTTTATTTGAATTCATTTATATTTATTATTTTTCTATTAATCTAGTAAAAAACTTGCCTTGAATTCAGAATGTTAATGTCATTAATCTGAATAATTATTTCATTAAATTTATTTTTGAATTTATATTAAGTATAATTCAGGATAATTTATTAAATTATTTACAAGTTTTTTATATTTATATTTGAGTTAATCTTGTTAGGTTAGTTAATTTAATATATATTTAAATTTTCTATTTTTAGCAATGTAATTAATTTGTATTTTAAAAATATTTATCTTATTAAGTTTTTTCCTTTAATTTTTTTTTTGTATTCTGAATATAATTGCATGGGCTTAATTGATTAAATTTGTATTTAATTGAAAATTATTTTTATTCTATTAGTTAAACTGCACGTAGGCATTGAATGAATCCATGGCTAAAACCATTAAATCCATATAACCATTATATCTCGAATAACATTATTTTCTATCTATGATTCGTCTTTAGATCCAATAATTACTGCTGGGTGTTATTAAATCAACGAGACATTTGAAAGAAAATTCGTTAATGATTATTGATTATTGATTATGGACGGCAATTCTCACGTTCAATCCATCAGATTGATCATCGACTGGGTTCGAGTTCATGCCATTTAAACTACGCACTCCATAACTTAATTCCCTTTTCTTTTCCTTATTTTAAAACCTAAAATATTAATAGAATATTTAAGAGTATAATAGTAGTTGTTTTTTAAAGTTTTTTTATTCGAAAATATATTAAAATAATATTTTTTATATTTTAAAAAATTGATTTTAGTATATTAAAATAATATAAAAACAACAAAAAAGATTAATTTGAATTTTTAAGCAAAGAAACAAGAAAAAAATTATTTTTTTACAAAAATACTTTTAAAATATAAAAATAAACACAGCTTGCAAAATCTTTCCCTATATATCCGATATATTTGGTTACCCCAATTGAAGAACAAGACTACAGAAGCTCCAAATTCGCACAGTGTCACAAGGACTCCTTGCTTTAGTTCAATGGGTCCTAGAGTCTGTAGCATTTCCTTTGGAATCAAAAGGGAACTGAAAACGCATGCAAAAAAAACCAAATTAACTCGATATGAGAGGTGGTTGGGCTGTCGAGAAGATTTTTTTTCTTAAAACAAAGTAATTCCAAGAACGTAGAACAGACAAAGGAGAAAGAAACGACAATTTCTGGGGGTAATAAGAGCCCAAGGGGGGTCCGCCGTAGATAGCCATATGGATCTCAGGGGCCATGTGCAGGTCCCTGAAACCTCCCGTGCCTGGCTTTAAATGGAATTCGCAGAAGAAAAGGATGACCCCCCATTGATGTTGATCCTTCAACCTCTCATGATTGATAGGAGTGTGGTACTGCCCTTAAGATTGGATTTAATTTATGTGTCTCTGTTCATCAACGACACTATGCGGTCGGAATAAACCCTAGCACCCACTTTCTTAAAATCCTAACTACCCCATCCATGTAATATATACATGTTGTCAAAAGTTCATTCGGGAACGTATCACTGGCATATTATTCAGCATGCAAATCCAAGACTGTAAAAAAAAAAAAACAAACAAAAAGCAATGAGGAACTGGTAAAGAACGGTGTGCTTTTGTCGTGGCCCATTGATAAGTAAAACTCATAATTCCTGGAAGAAGACGGTGTTCAGTACATGATGAACAATCACAGAATAAGATTTATAAAAGATTTACGATTGTATTTTATTAGTATTTTATCAAAGCTGTTCAGTGTATTAATTTTTATATTTTCAAAACAGAAAAAACAAAAAAGACATACCATTTCTCTATCTCAATTTTCTCTTTTTATTTTGAAACAGGAACCAAATGCTGTTTACAATGATAAGAAGTAAAACAACACAAAAACACTCTATTTCCACTCCAAAATAGCAATAAGAGAGCTCTTGGTTCAATCAACGACACGCATGGCAAGAGTTTTTACTCGAAACTACATTCTTGAGAAGGCTTTGTGTGAATGCTACGTGATTAATTTGTTAGTGTTGTTTATGAGAAAATTGATATTGTGAAGTTCAACCGTATGTGTAATTTATCAATTAAATTTGAACACTCTGTTTTTTTTATAATAATTATCGATAATATATTAAAAAGAACATAAAACTAATACTTAAAGCAAAATACACGAACATGACAAATAAAAAAACAAACTTAAAAAAAATTAATCTACTATAACAAAAAATAAAAAGACTATTTAAGATTTTGTATTACATCATAATTTGATATCATCAAAAAATTATAAGAGTTTATTTTTTATATAAAAAAAGTTTAAATCCAAAATTTAAACTCTGAGTTTACAAGAGGACTTGTTGATATTTTTTTTATATTACATCATAATTTGATATCATCAGAAAATTATAAGAGTTTATTTTTTATATAAGAAAAGTTTAAATCCAAAATTTAAACTCTTTATTTGACTTTACAAGAGGACTTGTTGATATTTTTTTCTTCTATATGGTCCATAAATTATTATATGTAAATTAATAACATTAATATCCACATATACTATGAAGTTTTGAAGATCTTTAATTAAAGTAATTAATCATAATTTATTCAATATATACATCCTTAACGAAAAAGACAAACAAGTGATCTTAGAAATTAAAAAAATAAAAATCAATAATATTAATTAAATACATTAAATAAACAGATGGCATATAACAATGTTTTTGAGTATTTATTATAGTTATGAAACCTCACTCAGCTTAACAGGTTGATTTAAAAATTCATTGCTTTAAAGCTTGATTTGAGTTGGATTTATCATTGAATATAATCAATAATTAAACTAAGTGAATTCAAGCATCTTTATTGGATTTGATCTATCCTAACTGATGAAACCTAATTTACACACACCTAATTTAGATACGGTTATATAGTTTTAATTTTTTTAGTTCGAAACAATATCATTTTAAGATTGATTTAGATTGATGTACTAACTCGTATATTAAACCTAGTTAAACCTTATGCTAGATCTAACAACTATAATAATTTTATAATATTTATAACAAATTGCAAGAAGAAGGATACACGTAAATTAATTAGGAATATTAAAAAACTCTTAATAAGTATTCTAATAGAACTCATAAGCCTAACCCATCTTTAATTTGTGTTATAAATCCATCCATAGGTGAGTACTTCCATTAATTTCTCATTACTTAATTAGTGTGTTGTTACTTTCAATTTACAGGAAAGTGTCCCTCTTTTACAGAAAACTTTCTACTTCTTTCAATCTCATTATAGCAACATAACCATAGATCCACATCCAAATCTTCTTCTCTAAACCAAGATTTCACCACAAATAAATAAATAAATAAATAATTGAAATCATCAAACCCCCAATCTCATTAATTATCAAATGGTGATTCAATTCTTTCTCTATCAATATCTTCATTTTTCATGAACCAAATTTCACATTTGAGATCAGTTTCTTAAATGTGATATTAACAGCCTACCTGAAATATTTAGGCACATGAAGATTAATAATGAACACGCACAAGTATAGTTGATTTTTCCAGGCTTATTGTAAGTGGTGAATGCATATGCTTCCAACTCTAGCTGTCATATTCTGTGAGACTCAGACATGCTACTTACTAATGCCATATTTTATGGCATGTAGCTTAATTAGTCAAGAAACCTATGCGCGCAACTTTTTCTTCAGATAGTTTCACTTTTTATCGTGGGTCAGAGATCCTGCAGTTCCACCTGATTACATATCACAGCCATTTTAGCTTTTCAGGTTGATGAAAACTGATGACTGCGATACTAGCTTGCTTTTTGACTCATCCATTTTACTTGTATGGCTCTCAAGAGCACCCATGACCATATATTGTTGCTTTACATCATTAGGAAGATTCGAAGAATATCACATCTGCTTACTTATTTCTAGTTACGCACTAACTTCTCAGAAAAAGAAAGGTCATATCTTTCATGGTGCTTCCATATTTTCTGGAAACATGAATTTGCACAAAGAGTTTAGCACATATAAATGGATCTTCTACAATTCTTTGTTAGAAGCATGCATGCGTGGAATTAGTCATGGTGCGCGTAAGCTCGTGGTACGCATAAACTGACCCGGACACCCACGTTAATCTAAAATATATATATATATATACAGTCCTTTTTTTTTTCAAAAACAAAATTACTATATGAATTGGCATATGTTAATATATAATTTCTTTTTGCAAGCTTCGTCAAATTATTCGCAAGAAAGAAAGAAAAGCCAGACTATCCGCCCATCATTCTTAGTTGGATCCTCAAATTGAGAAAGAAAGAAAGAAAAGCCAGACTATCCACCGATCATTCTTAGTTGGATCCTCAAATTGAGAGTTTTCTCAGTAGGTAAGATTTATTTATTTATTTATTTATTATTGTTATCTCAGATTTATTTATTTATTATTGTTATTTGAGAATACAGATTCAAATTTTAGACAGGGGGCTTCTCATCCACTTTATTATTAGAGAATTAATTACATTGAGAACTAATAGGAGTTAGGAGCAAATTTGAGGTTAATTTGAATGCGGCAATATTAATGGCATGGCATTTCTTTCATTTAATAGTATTCTGAGGACTTGTAAACTTACACATGTAGGTTCTGATGAAAGGTGGTGGTCCTGGCTGCTAATGACAATCAAGACGACTACAAGTCACTAAAATGGCAGATGATTAGCCCTCAAGAAAGAGAGGAATTCAAAATCCAAACATAGAGAGATGAGAGTCATGATATGCAAGGATTTGATAATTAGAAGTCATCAATCCCTCTCGAAAGTCACCATGACATACATCCAAAGACAAACCCTAATAGGAAAGGAAAAAAAAAATGAAGCATACATTAGAGCAAAACTTAAGAATAATGTTAACAAGTCTCATCCCAAACCCACCCATGGAAAAGCAAAATAAAGGTTAAGCACAATCATATCATCTCACCTATGCAAAACAATCTATAGCTCTCTTCATTCTTTTCCCTCTAGAAGTCATATCTAATTAGAGAAAAATTGTATTGTACAAGCTGTACATGATATAGCTGAGGCCCCCCCACAAAACAACACCACCAACCTTCTCAGATTCCTCCTTCACAAGGGTTATTTTGGTTGGTGTTATCTTGGAAGGATAAGGGTTCTCTTGCAAAACTCTCTTCCTGTGCAACCTTTTTTCTTCTCTTCCTCTTTTCCTCAGTGGGAGGATACATATCAACTTTGGCACCATCGATCAGTATTGTGTCTGTTGGCATATACCATCCGAAGAACCTCTCATAGGCTATAATTCTTCATCAACATTTTCTCGATAAATCTAACTCAAGACAAGAAAAACTTGGTGGTGGTGGTGGTGGTGTTTTCATCAAAACTGACCGATCACTCGGTGCAGCTTCTTCGTTTCTACATCGTGCAATGTCTTCAGCTATTCTTCTAGCATCCACTGAGGCTCCTAATATTCCACGTTTAGTGAACCCCACTGCATATAGCCCACACTCCCCTTTCCATCCATTTGGAAATGGTCTTCTAGGAAATCCGTCTTTCTCCGAGAACATATCTCCTTCCTGACAATTAAAAAAAAAAGGAAGAAGCCCATGACCTCTTTTTCTTTAGCATTTTGATCATCAACTTGGTGCAAAAATAACATATCCTTAAGAAAAAGAAACTTAGAGAAGAAAGGAAATTATGAAGAACTAAAGATAAAGAAAAGAAAAAAGGTTACCTTTAGCCAAGATGGCACATTACTTTTGTAGCCTGTCGCTAAGATAATAGCATCAAAATTCTCCGTTTTCCCTTCAATAAACTCTACCGCGTGACGTTTTAGCTTCTTAATTTCTGGACATATCTAAAACAACAAAGGAAAATTCAGGAATTCTACAGTAAAAATAGAATTTTTAGCTATGATGCCAGGGAGAGCAAAATGCAAAGTGATGATGTGATATACTCGTTATATGATACTTGATATAACTGGGAAAGTACCTTAATGTCTCCACTTTTGATCTTGGCTAGTGTCCCAACATCTAATACCGGGGTCTTCCCGGACAAGTTCTTGAGTTCAAGGGGACCTAATTCCGGCCGGTCCAATCCAAATCGTGCCGTATCACCGAGCATTAGCCTCGACACTATCAGAAGGAACCGATCGACAAGGCGCACAGGCAGCCACTTGAGCAACCACATGGACAACCCGAAAGTTGATTGGCCCAGCATCTCTCGAGGTAGAACATGCACCTTCAATCAAAACAAATAACATTCCCACAAAAATTATAAAAAAGAAAAAGAAAAAGACAAGAAGTTACTACTTCTACAACTTAGAAAGCTTATAGAATGACTCAAAAAAGAGCTAAAGTTTGATGATATTGGTGTGACCCGTCTAGTTGCCCGAGTGATGTGTGTGTACATGTGGGCTAATTCGTTCGAGGTCATGACTGAATATGCCTTGAGGTCTTTACAGAGAAAAATTAATTATAGGAACACAAAAGGGAGAAGTATTGTTATGATATACATGCTAAACCTTACAATTCTTACCCTTGTATGCGCATGCTTGGGAACCCCAAGAAAGTGAAAGATCAAGGATTTTTTATTTTTATGTATAAAATTACATATCCTTAGTTTTTTTCCTTATCATTTTTTAAATTAGAGAGAGAGAGAGAGAGAGAGAAGAAAGCGCTTGTTGGAACTTGAAGTCACTATGCACACCAGGGCAATTTGAAATTGTTATTAGACTCCCATGAGAGAAATGAGCCTGAAATACATCATACATGCCAGGACAGAAAAAGTTTTTAGTGAGTTTTATTTTATAAATAAATAAAAACAGATCATTTTGCAAACATTTCCATTCGTTATTTATATTTGGATTCTTTATTAAGAGAAACGACTGAAAGGGAGAAAATAACACGAAACCAGGAATTTGAATATTTATATTGATATTTCAAAAACAAAACCTGTATATCTTATTGTTCTATCATCAAAACGAGTTTTTTTTCCCCATCAGAACATTTGGATTTGAACAGACCAAAGGCTTAAGGATTACCCTTTCAAAGGGTTCTTTTTTTCTTTTTTGCTATAAAGTTTTAAGAAAAAAGAGAGAACAATATGCTTAACTAATTAAGAGGAGCAGTACTTACTGTATCTCTAACAACAAGTGAAGGCTTAGCACTATAATCGCATAGATCCAAACAAACTTCCATTCCGGAGTTTCCACACCCCACCACCAAAACCTTTTTCCCTGTAAACTCTTCTCCACTTTTGTAATAACTTGTATGCTTTATGTCCCCTCCAAATTCTCCCATTCCATCAATCTCTGGCACCACCGCCTCCGCATTCTCTCCGGTCGCCACCACCAACCAGCGGCACACATACTCGGTCTCCTCTAGCTTCTTCCCAACAGTCTTCACGCGCCAAAACCCAATAACTTTATGATATTCGGCATGTGACACAGTCTCATTGAACCGGGGACCAATCTCATACTTTTGTGCATATGACTCCAAATAATGAAGAAATTGTTCCTTAGTAGGGTAAGTTGGAAATTCACTAGGGAACCCCGTGAGAGGAAGCTCACAGAATTGTTTTGGTAAGTGAAGGCGTAGGCGGTCATAAGTCTTCAACTGCCACAAAGATGCTATGCAACTAGATCTCTCTAGTACCATACTTAAGACACCTTTTTCTTTGAGACAAGCTGCCACGGCTAGGCCTGAAGGACCAGCACCAACAATAACTGGACCAGGGACAAATACACGTGAAGGTTTATTCATATTTTTTTCAAATAGAGGATCGTGAGCATGTTTGCCTTCTAATTCTCTCAAGCAGTCCATGATCTGTTTAAGAACTGAATATATAACTGTGGTTAAAAAAGGGTTATAAACACACTGATTGACTGTATCAGCTATAACTAATATGAGTCAAAGCTAATTTGGTTGTTGGGTTCAAGAGAAAGCGCACAACTGAAGAGAACCCATTCGGCCAAACAACGTGCTGTTGATGTTGGGAGAGAGTAAGTGGGGGACTAAGTTGAAAGGTTAAGCCGAGATTTAGTGATGGATTTCTCTCTTATCTACAGAGAGATTAGGCCTTGCGAGGGAATTCCTTAAATATTGGAGTGGATTGATGAAAGGACTTATCCACTTATGAGAATAACTTTTGTTTTCTTTTTTGAAATCTCTGTGCGTTGTGTTGTTCAATGGAGGTTAAACCGGAAGATGAGCAAAGAACTTCGGGGCAAAATCAGCATTCAACAATGAATGTGAGAGAGGGAGAGAGTGAGAGAGATGGTGATATGTCTATATATATTCCCTTTGTTCATAGAAGAACTTAAATACGAGCACGGCTTGAGTGGTAAAGATGAGTAATGGTAGTGGGGACATAGAATATTTAATTATCATTAACCAAAATAAGCCAAAGAAAATTTTAATTAATTATCATTAACCGACATAGAATATATATAAATATATGTAGGGCTTCAGCCACGCTTCAAGTCATTTTGAAAAAAAAAAAATAGAGATCGATCTACGTCACTTTACTTGTCACAAGAGAGACTTAGAGACCTCATTGGGCAAGGATTAGTAAAAGAATTGGTTGTGGGTTAGCAAAACAAAGTCCTAACTTAGCCACAATTAGGATTATTTTAATTAATTAGAGTCATTTATCAAGAAGGTTAGCACTACCAAGGTCTGGTTTCCATATTGAATCTATGGATGTGATGTAATTATGTGGGTGGGCGATGGGTTGGACCTAGGACCAACTTGGGCTTTGTGTGGAGTGTGAATTGGAACCGGGATGTCTTCCACCATGAATATCGAGGCATAGATGTAATCATGGATTAGTAGGGCAGACTCTCGCTAAAAGTGCAAAAACCTTTAAAATCTGAGATTTCCATTCATGTGCCTTTGATTTGGGTAATTATGACCTGCCTCAAATTTCAAATGGACGGACTCATGGAATCTGAATTTCTATCGAAATAGTCAATCACGAGGAAATCTACTATCTCCACTGAGTTGACTTCAACACATAATTTCAGAAGATATGTTGGTCAAGGTACGCTTGGTGTACAATGCTGAAAGTAATATGATTATTTATTTTGTGTTTTATAAGTGGTTTTAAAAAAATTAGAAAATTTATTTTTATTTTAAATTAATATTTTTTATGTTTTCAAATAATTTTAACATATTAATACTAAAAATAATTTTTAAAAATAAAAAAAATATTATTTTATTATATTTCCAAATAATCTTAGATACTTCCCACTAATAAAATAAAAACACCATGAGGTTTATGACCACAGGAATACTGGTTTTGTTAATATTATTTATATGGAGGATTTGGTGAAGGCCATGAACTGGTGGCAGCACTACACCCAAATAAACTGATCTGGGGGCTTCAAAGTTAATTCGCTGCAACGTTTAATAATTTTATCAATAAAATATTTTTTTATTAATATGAGATTATTATTTTAGTGGTGAAAATTTTACTGACAGATTTGACAAATTTATTGATGTGAGAATATATCTATGGCTATAACTTTCATTAGTAATTCCATTATTTGTCTTTAATTATGTTAAAAAAATTAAAATTGATGGGTTTATTGACAAAAAATACACACCAAAAAAAATTTCCCACTAGAAATACTCTATTGATATATTTTCATTAGTAATAGTGGTATATGTAGTAATTGTTTTCCTGACTCTCTAGAATATATCGAAGAGCTGATTTCATCTATATTTCCATTGGTAAATCGCCAACTGAATTATTCTATATGTAATTATGTCTGTGATAATTAAAAAATAAAATTGTATAGAATAATTAATATAAGATTATATAGAATAAGAAAAAATAATTAAATAAATAAAATTGAAATACATAAAAATAAAATTGAATAATATAAAATCCAAATATTCACTATAATTTTATTTGTACATATAAAAATTTTACTAGAATAATGACATCGCTGGAGGAGGAGAAAGATGTTGGTAGTTTCCAGGACCATATACCAAAAAGAAGGCACATATATGTCACCCATATGTGATCTCATGTCCATGACTATTTGGTGAAGTTCATAATCCGTTGAGGGTTGCTCATATTTTTTTAATGAGATGAGCAGTGTGTTGCTGCAATGTTATGAACTTCTAAAACTGGGTATTTGATACTAATTGGGAGTTCACAATAGTTGAGACACTACAAGATGCTCGTAAGTTCTAGATCGTAGTGTTGGAGAGTTTGTACTCCCGATTTCTATCAAGTCCACTAGACGATCAAGTCTTTATCTACAAATCTGAATCAAAATCTGAGTCGATCGAAGGATCGTCCCCATATTTCTTCCTCAATCTGCTATTATATATCTTCTGAAAATTTAAAAAGAAATCATCAAATTAAATTCAAGAAAATAATAACTTAAAAAAGAAAATGGTTGAATGAAACCATAAAATATTCAGTATGGTTGTCGATGAATTGTTGACCCCCTTTTGGTGATCTTCACTCCGCATATGCATCTCTACAAAAAGTTTCATTGAGCTCGGCTCACGTCCAATAGACTTAGAATGTAAGAAAAAAAATAATGCAAGTTAAATATATTTATAAATAACAACACATTAATTAAAGATAGATATCATTAAAATTAATCTTTTCATCCACTTCGCATGTGCAATAAATAAAACAGAGCGATCATGTGTGTGGTAACCAAACCATGAATTTATCGGTTCTGGTTCACGGCATCATATTGTGAGTATTATGTGAACCACTCAGATGTCACGTGCTGGATATATTGCACCCATATATCCTCCGGGATGTATGGCGGCCTGAAATCCCTTCAAACCACCACATCATTCTAGTCTTATAGATTGTTATCTCTAGCATTTTTTTTCTTCGCTATATACCAAAAGTCACATAACTTACATTTATGAATGATTTTAATATATAATATTTTTTTTAAAAAAATATTACATTGTTTTCGATATTACCTAATTATTATGTGATTCTCCTATACCCTCCTCGTAATATAGTCATTTGTGTTATCCACTCGAATTTGTGCTATGTATAAATAATTTATTAAAAATAAATCAATAATTTCAATATAACATACAAAATAGTTAAAATCTGAAGTTAACACTAACCTCAAATTTTCTAAACTTGATATAAGGTCTCCAATCAAGATGTCTAGAAATATGATTCCATTGAAATAATAAAATCTCCATTAATAATTTAAATACTGCTATTATTACTTAGACGCCTCAATCTTTATGAATATGAAAATCAATAAAATTAATGAAATACTAATTAATTGTTCACAAATTACATTAAAAGAAAAAAAATCAAAACAAACTTATATTGAAATATCGTCCTTTTAATGTGCATTGTACATGCGAGTGAATTGACCCCACTATGAAAACACACCCCTACTATATTGTGGAACTACACTAGAAGTGGCAGCAACGCAACATCGTAAGTTGTCGCAGGTGCCTCTTCTTGGTGGGCACCTAATGACACATCATCATTGCTGCTAGAAGTACTCGTTGCAATCATGAGCTCATGACGTGCTGTTGATTTTGTTCTACGCATCTACACAAATTTGATCAATAATTACATAATCAAATTTGTTCAAACCTGAAAATATTGACAATATATACCACAAGCCAAATGATTTTATTTTTTTTATACCATAAATTGCAGATTATTTAATTTCATCTCATTTTCAATGATAATATAATGTCTCTAATCATAAAATAGAGAAAAAAAAATCCTATGTGTAAGCTAATATGTGTACAAATCTAACAATAAATATTGAAAAATAAGATAAAATCAATTTCTATATTAACATTTATATAAATTTAACAATAACAATTAAAATTCAACAAAATAATCAAAAACTCTACTATTCAATATATATAATAAAATTGAGATAAAACAATTAAATTTAATCCATATATTCAATTTATATTTATATAGAAAATTCAACAATAACCATTAAAATTCAACAAAACAATCAATCATTATTACAATATAAAAAAAAACATAGACTTTAACAATGAAACATATTTACCTTAATAATATGTTTACTTTTAAACATTATCTATGAACAACTCAAAAAAACAAAAAAAAAATGAAAATTTATTGTTAATAAATCAAAGAAAAGATGAAAATTAGAAAATCAAAACAAGTGAGAACAACTACAATACATACCTTTTAAATGTTGAAGATAAAGATAGAACTAGAAATTGAAGTAAAATCACTTAAATTGAGAAGAAAAAATGAGAGAGATTTAAGAAATATGAATAAAAGGAAAAAAATAAACTGGAAAGGTATTTGCTAGGTTTTATATTGTGTTTTTACTGATGGAATCACCAACGAACTATTAAATAATATTATTTTTAATTAATCTGTCATTGATTCCCTCTGTAAATTCGCTCTAAAATTTCAATTTTGCACTAAATTTAAAAAAAAACCTTTAGAATTTTTACAATCCATCGGTAATTCCCTCGCTAAAGCTAAAAGGTACACAGTTAAAGATGCATTAACTAATTGCACTTAAGGTAACGCAATTCATTGGTGGTCCGTTAGTAATGCTCTCGATAACCTGCATCTGACTCAGAGGTTTTTAATTGACATCACCGACAAGGAATATAAGCAATTCCCTTCACCTCTGGAAAACATTAACGAACACAAACCATCATTTTTTACATCGGTGATGTGGAAACAATTCCCTTCACCTCTATAATACACCAAGAGTTTGTGTCTATCAGTGTTTCTATCATTGATGGGGGAACAGTTCCCTTCTCCTTTAGAGTACACTGATAGTTTGGGTTCGTCGATGTTTTCATAGGTGATGTGGGGTAGGAATAGTTTTCTTTGCCTCTGGAATACACTGATGGACACAATATGTCAGTGTTTCCATTAATGATGTGGATAGTGAATGACACATTATGTATGTATTCCCTAACTATCCTTCCTGCAAATACTTAAATTGAAAGTTACACGCACAGCACAATAATAGCAGTTCACATAATAATTATAAAATAATCATTTATTTGTACAGAATTTCATCTGTAAATATTCCTTTACACTTTCATGTTCTGATAGATAGTTAATTAGAATTATCCTCTCTCTTTTTTCTTCAATTGAATCTTTATCAGCTCCATCGCAATATTCAACATTGATATCATCATTATCATCATTGATTTATGTTTATCTGCTAGAGCTTAAAATAATATTCAACTCCTCAGTGTTAACATTAATAAGACTATTATAAGTAAATCGATGGAGCAACTCGATATGGTTCAACCAACTCACTAACTTGAAAGACATCATCTCTCACATTTATGTCTTTGTTCTCATCCAAAACAAC